CTCTCTTCCCCGTCACGAAATCGTAAACCGACAGAATACCCTCTCCGAACCATTGTTTGATGCCTCCAGCAGGCATACTTGGCCGGGCGTCGATCTGGGGAGAACAACTGCGGCTTCATGAGGAAACGTTGAAGGTCGACTTCCGGGTGAAGAATTGTGCAGTCGAATCGAGACCCTAACGATGTGCATCGCCAACGACAGAATCAGACCTCGTCCTTCCGCAGGACTGCATGCCGATCGATCGACTCGAGGGATCTACCGGAGACAGGGAGTTTCGCATCGGCTCCCTTTCTCTCGAGACGGCGGATAGTTCCGAATATGTAGATGTTATATGTACCTTGATGTTCCTGAGGGTATTGGAAGGAGACGCATCAGCTGGGCCAAGTTAAAGGCGTCGCGTCGCATGGGGGACCGAGGTCTCAGCCGGAATAGCAGGAGGGCCATGTCATTTTCGAGTCGACTGAGTGTGAGTATCTTCGAAACCGGAAGGCGACTCGTTCAGAATGGGAACCCCAGAAAGCGCACGAAAACAAACAAGGAATCATCCAAGAGTTCAAATCGTCCCTCTTTCCGATCAAGTGCCACCATCGAATCGTCCAAATCATACGCATCGATCACATGCAGGTGTCCCCGACTCTTGATTTTTACACATTCATGCCCCCGCTCCCTGGCGAAGGCTGCACCCTGCATCTAGGGCGTCTATCTCGCGCAAAGTCCGAGACTTCTCCTACACTACAAACGGAAACGTAGGGATTCGATCTTTCGCCCTCACTCAGACCAACCGAAGCTGCGACCCCATCCGTAGTAAGAACTGTCCTCGTAGTGTTGTGTCCCGACGTAGTATTCGAGCTGTCCTTGTCTCGCTCACCACCTCAAGATTCACATTGAAAAAGCTCCCGAGATGTCATACGTCGCTAGAATCGATGTTCCCCAACAAGCGTCGCCAATGCCATGCAACCGTTGCTCCGTCGAGCAATGTGCGAGACTGTTCCCGCTCAATGTGTGCTGCATACTCGCCGTAATTCTCGCCAGAGACACCAGGACTAATTAGGGCATCAGGCAAAGCTCTGTGGGCACGTTTGAGAAATTCTGGAATGTGTACACAACGGAAAAAATTCTACAACCAAATTCTGAATGGTTACGAGCGTTTCTCCCTTGGGGAAGTACCCAAAAAATTACGTCACATCACGGTAATGTGATATTGGTTCTCGCTCAGAGCCAACGGCTCAGGATGGAGTCGAATCGCTGGATACGATTCAGTGCGCGCATCCCGAGTGACGAGTGGTCTGGGAGCGCCGAGTCGCTCTGACCGGAGGAAGCGCCGGGTCTCGTCACGAATCGAATGCTCGCAGTTTCCGCTTTGACTTATCCGCCCAGAAGAAAACCATTTGACCGATCGCACTCGGTTCCAAAGTTCCGCGTCACTTCCCCGCTCGGGACTCGAAAAACGAAGGAGAAACTAGGCGAGAGAGAATTTGCTGCAGACATCACCCACAAGCTTGTCGTTCGCGAGATAAGGACGGGTTCCAGCACTCCCGTAGGAACATCTGGGGTTCCGGCATATTCAGAGTTAGCAAACTGAAGCTAGGTACCCGAATTTCGGACAACAACGCAGTTCATTCTGAGACAGTCCGAGTCGGGCCGAGCGAGTTGGAGATCGCCGGGGGAGGCAGTGACCCCGACTCGGTGCGATCTCTCGCCGCGCGAAAACCATTGGTTTTCGATCGAGGTATGTCGCGAGTACGTGAACTTCACCCGACCGCCCTCTCGCTTCCCACGTGCGCGGATATCGACAGCTGGAAGGCAGAGGTGCTCGCATGAGACATCTCGGACTCGTCCAGTGTGCGACTGAGGAGTATTTAGCGATCGCTTCCACGCTGCTCTCCCTCATCGCTCCCGCAGCGACGCCGACGCTTCGTACGTTCGTTCGGAATCTGCTTCACGCGGAATTTGTATTCGAGCCGCTGTCGTCGGCGTCGGCCGCACCGCCGCCGAAGCGACGACGATTCGGATTCGCGGACACGCAGGCGAGATTGTTTTGAGAAATTGCGCCAGATTCGAAACGCCACCTTGGAGCCATTGCAAAGGATTCCTCGGTTCTTCAGACGGAACCGCAAACATAAAAAGATGCACTTCTGCTGCTTCTCATTGATACTATTCACCTGTACGTGTGTGTGGCTTATGACAGGAGTGCTACCGTTTGTCGCCGCAAATGTGCTCAGCCGAGGAGGTCTCTTCGATGGTGATTCGAATGTCGAGAATCTAGACTCCAACAGTCTGAAAGTTTTCTTGTCGGCCAGTCAAGGACTCAAACTCGTCCTGTTCTACGCGGAGTGGTGCGGGCATTGTCGAGCCTTTGCTCCGATCTTCAGTGACTTCGCTGCGGACATAAGAGGTAAGTTCGTGTGAGAGAGACCAAAATCTGCTCAAGTGGAGCATTCGGTTCCTCGACGGAGTGTTGGAGAGACTGCGACTACTACTAGAGATGAGTTCAGCCCTCGGGGATTCACGCTCTAGCGGGAATTCAAAGTATAGCTCTGAGTCTGATCAGGGAAACAGGTTCCGATCTGTCTCTGAGCTCTACCCGAATCTGGCAGCACCGACTGGAGCGAAATACAGCACCGGGACCCTACGCAGTGCGGATCCTTCAGTTCTCAATGAGATCGACCAGTTTTCCCATCGCATCTACTCCCTCCACTCAAGCTTGGGCTAGATCAAAAAATTGTCTATTCGCTGCGAAATTGCGACTCGGTCGAAACGAACTCATCCAGAGAATCCTGTCACGGGGAGCGTTCTGCCGAGGCAGGCTGAACAGCGAGCAGTAGAAGGCGCAGCTTTGAGACGATCTATTGTTTATATCCCCAGCACCCAGCAATATAGCGAGTGATATGCTTGCCCACATCTCGGATGAGCTCGAGACGGACTTGAACGGATTGCATTAGTACGACAGGAAAGGTGCGGCGCGCTTGAAGGATGCGCAGTATTATCATCGTTCGCTTGCGCTTTCAGTCGCGATGGTGCCTGAGAAGTGTTCCGCGAGTCGAACATGATGTTCACATCATGTCGGAATTCGAGAGTAATGACTGCGAGACCGAGCTTCTCGCAGGGTCAGAGGTTTGTGGGATATCGTCGTTTTCCGAGCTCTCCGGCATGGGCTCGTTCAATGTGCTGAGAGTACACCCCAAATACCCAGAACGGTCTCAGGAACACTCGATTCTCAGCACGAATTACTGCTCCTTAGATCCAGGGGCGCGCACAATATTTTTCCCGGGCGGGGTAGGGGAAGTTCGACTTCCGGAGGGGGCCAGGGGACAGAGATAATGCAGCGCGTCCTGAAGATTCAAACCTCAGCCTTCTGATCGGAAAATTGGCGCCCCCCTCTCCTGTGCTCGCCTCCGCACGAATCGCGGTACCATCGTGCAATGAAGTCGTCCGTTTAGGCTGAGACAACAGAATGACGATCGCTGGGAGGATAGCTCCCGAACCACCGGCGCGGTGTAGAAAGGCTTCGGCGAGTGTGAACTTCCTCTCGCTTGCACCGGTCGGCAAGGCCGCAGTTTTTCCGCCATCGAATGCTGTCCCTCAAGGTTTCCGCTCGGGGAGGCGAACCTTAGATGAGAGGTCTGCTGGTCCGTCTCGGAAGTTCGCTCGAGTGTGCCAAACATTCCATCCTCGGCAGACGATGTGGTCGGAGCTCGCCAAGAGATTCCGACATTTCTGCGCCTTCCGCGCTTGATGTATGAGTCAGCGAGCAGTTTCTGATTTTTTGTTGTGTCTCTATCAGAATCAAGGGCCTCATTTTCCAAATCGTTCTTCCATCGAGCTGACGTGGAAATGTGATTGAGCCCGACGGATCGGAAGTTCCGTCCCAGATGTTCGCCGTTTCATTCCCTTCCGAAGGTCATCCGAACGCACCGATCGATGACGCATTTTCCGAACAGACGGGTCTTATGTTAGATCGAAGTTCTCGGGCATACACGCATTCTCGAATTCTCCTATGCACACTGGTCTGTGACTAGTTAAGAGTGCTTTCTTGGACTCATTACTGCGGCGCTCGTCGATGGGAGAGATGAGCATCGAGCTGGAACGATGTAGACTGAACTTGGCGGATTCCCGCTAGAGACATTACAGAGTATCCAACGTCTCCGACGCGTCTTATTCCCGGACTGTTGTTCTATGAGCCGGGGAGGATGCAGCGCATATGTACCACCTCGATACAAGACGTGACAGGAAGCACGAGGATCGCACAATCACAGTGATGTCCGCCTCTTAAGGTTCACACTTCCGGATCGGAGGGTTCGTTCAAGGAGCGTGACTTATCCAAGACGAGATGATTCTTGAATGATAAGGACGAAGGCTAGAACCCGAGGTCAGATTCGATGAGCCTCTTCTAGGAAAATTCATTAGAGGGCAATTCTCTCGAAGCTCAATCGCCAAGGAAGGCGTCGATTGAGCCGGCTGCGTAAGACGCTTCTGAACCGAAACTTGGCCTTGCCCTCGATGGGGGCTGCCCCGAAAACTCGAAGCACGGAGATTCTGCCGAGCATCAACATAAAACTGAATCTGACGAATCGATTCGAAGCCGGAGGATGCAGCTCGAAGGAGTGCTGAAGGATTGAATTCTCGTCACCTGCGATACCATGGATTCGGACCGTCCTAAAGCAATGCGTGTTCAGAAACTCTTTACTCTGGAATGCAGACGAAGACGGTCCCAGGACAGATCGATATCGGAACAGCTCCTAGCCTTGTTAGCCGCCTTGAATTCACCCAGACACCCGAAAGAAGGTTATGCAGGTCTTGGCACCGTCGCTAGACCGAGAGATCCTTCTCGACGTCTTTCGCGCTTCGACGGCAGTGAGGTGATGGTTTGAACTTTGGCGCGCCCCAAGTGTAAACAAAGACAACGTTGCAGCCATCATCAGAGAACAGTCAACGCAGGGAAGTCGAGTGGAGAGGGAAGGAATCGGCAAAGCACTAGCACCAATGATACCGCGACGACTGACAGCACTCACTGTGATAAGCAGATCACAGCTGTTCAGTCGGAATTGCGGTCTCTGAATGAAACTTCTTGCCATATCCCCCCCTGAATAGTATCCTGTGAAATGTTCCCTTCAGAGACATCAGTCTGACATCCTGTGAAAAGCCATGTCTTGCTCAAAGGTATGCCTCCTCCGCCTCTTCTCGGGATTGCTCCATTGTTCGTGGAGAGTCCGCTTATCCAACTTGTGATTTCTCGTCCATGGTATTGCGGGCTCTCGCTCTGAACAGGTGTTCTGGGAGCTTGCCGTGAGATCCGGCCCTTCTATTGCTCAAGAACCATCCCTGAGGAAGCTAAGAAGGATATCCGATCATTCATTATAGTCAATTCGAATGCTTATCTTGACCACCGCTGCGTGTGCAACAACGATACTCGCGGCCAATTTCGGGGCGCCGCTCTATGACACGTCGGATCCGCTCCGGCTGCTTGACCACGAGAATTTCCACCGAGAGCTCCGCCAGGCCCCCGGAGTGTATTTAGTGCAATTTTACAACAGTTGGTGCGGGCACTGCATAAGGTTCGCTCCGACATTCAAGAAGTTCGCAGCTGATGTGAGTGGTAAGTGACCAACAATCGCTGAACGACAGTGTGCTCTCAAAGACACAATTTCGAGCTTCGGTGATAAAATAATATGTCTCGTCAGCAATCGCTCCGAGAGAGATCCCCTCTAGGCACGAAGAACTCCTCGATCATCCAGAAATCACTGAAGAGGTCGATCGGTTGACTGAGCAGAAGGTTACGGTCGCACTTGACCGGTCATTGTGGTCATCTCTCGTGTCGCAGTGGGATTTCTTTCCGCCAGATATCAATAGGAAGTTCCCCTCTCATGAACGAATGGGTGTCCTCAGATCGTGACCGTCGAGCATTTAATTGTTCCTCGAGGCGTGCGTCGGTGACAAGTCAGTCTCCGTGACTAATGTTATTGTTTAATTCACTGTTTTTCGATGATTCGATCGTCTGTCGTGACCGTCCCAAAGAGACCAAGCTCATGAGGATCGCGCGTGTGTGCCGGAATCGAATTCTTCGATTTCTCACGCGTCCGCGCCGCTCTGCTCCACGAGAATATCGGAACGACAACTATTTGGCGCGCGTTGAAAGTCTTCAATTTCTCCCCAGCCTGGCGTCCAGCGGTGAGGGTCGGAGTAATTAATTGTGCGGACTCAGCTAATGGGCCTCTGTGCAGAGACAACGGCATTGAAGGTTTTCCTACCATGAAAGTGAGCGTCAAATATTTCGATTCTCCGATATAATCGGAGAATTTATCAAGAGAATTACGATCGACCGTTGTTCGTCAGCATCGATAACTCAAGAATATTGGTTTCAGTTGTTCTGGATTGAACGAGGCGGCAGGGGGAGCACAAACGGGACGAGTATTCGAGAGAGAGAGCCATCGGGAATTGAAGATGAAATCGTGGACTTCATCGAGGCAAGGACCAAGGACAAAGCCGTGCTCCATGATTTCCCGAGCCTAACGCCGTCAAGGTTTGTCTTCCGTTCTCAAGTGCCGTGTCCTATATGTGCGACAGCTCGTGGGAGTAGAGAGAGATCGGATTGAACAAACATGTACTTGCAGTGCGCGAAGCCTTCAAGATATCTGGGATTCGGTCCCGACAAATCTCAAGCAGGTTTTCGTTGTTGTCGAGAGGCCATCTTCGTATGTCGGACGTCAACTGATCCTTGACTTCAACTCGATCAAAACTGCTGCGGTGCATAGGTTCCTGAGAGGCGATGGTCCTGAAGAACTCCGCCATCAGGATCATGTGTCATTGCTCCTCCTCGAGAAAGGAGTACATCCTCGGCTCATAGCGAAGTGAGTTTTCCAAACAAGCAAATCGACACCTGGCGACCTCGAGCCTGGAAAGATGCCTAACGAGAATGCTGCGTTTCCCAAGTCTTGTTGTTCTCCGAATGTGAAGCCTTCATTATATCATCCATGGGCAGGACTTGGAATTCAGCGACGTCGCGCCACAAGCTGTGATAGAAAGTCTCTAGGGGCGCAAAACGGCGAAAATTTTTGAGTAAAAATCCCGTGAATAATTCCCAGCCTTATCCCTGGGGAACCGAGAAGCCTTCTGCGACGTAGTAATTCGAAAGGTGACGATCCTCCATCATTCACAGAGAAACGGACGAAAAGAAAGCACGAGCGCTCTTCAAGGAGAAGCTCACTGAACTCGGCATCAGCTTCGTACATGACGAGCACCACACAACACAGGCGACCAAAGCTTATGACCTAATCGGCGACTACAGCAAAATTTACCTTGACGACATTGAGACTGGAATCTTGTACACATTGACGCAGGAAGTTCCTCTGAAGCAAGAAATTTCAACGAAGCAGCTCAGCATACTGAAGAGTTTCATCCAGGTGATTATAATCCACGACGATCAATTCACGGAGTCTTTGCTCCTGTGACGCGTGGATTCTCGCTTGACTCTTTGATTTTCCTCTCTAGCTCATGTACGAGAACATTGATGTGCCACCACGTATTCGGTACTATCTCAGGAATGTTTCGAATCGCATCGATGTGTCTGTACCGCTGAAAGGGGCCGACTTCCTGAAGCTACTTAAAGCCGCTGAAACACCAGAAGCCTACCTGTCCCCGGAGGCGAATTTCATCGGCTGTAAAGGTAGGTCACTGAAGGAATCGTCCTCCACTCGGCTGGGAGGGGGCATGATTGCCGGCCCGCTCCCAGATTGAGCGTCCGTGATACTGAGATATAGGAGGGAGTCGCCATGTTGTATTAGCCCCATGAGAAGACCCGATCTAGCCCCCTCCAAGACAAATGCTGCAGACGCCACTGGCTGAGCATGGACTGAATATAAAATAATTTTTCTCCCCTCAGGAAGCGACCCCGGGAAACGTGGATACACGTGCTCGCTGTGGACGATCTTCCATTACATAACTGTGGGGAGTCACGCGAAGTTCCTCGCGAAAAAAATCGAATACCCTAATCTAGCCGTTCTCGTTATCAAGGACTACGTTCTGAACTTCTTCTCGTGCAGTGAATGCAGGAGCCATTTCGAAAAAATGGCCGCAAATATAGGTGGATATCAATGCCTTCGTTCATCGAGATGTACGATATTCAGACGGCTAGTCGATTGATTCCTACCTCGTTATCTTGGCAGAATCCGAGCTCGTGAACGCGAACGAGTCAGTATTATGGCTGTGGCGGAGCCACAATACAGTCAATGCTCGATTGAAGGGAGACGGTACCGAAGATCCGGCGAGACCGAAAATTCAGTTCCCCCCGATGTCCTTGTGCCCTGAGTGCCATAATGGCGACAAATTCAACGAGTGAGGGAGGAAAATCGATATCTGTCTCTCAATCTTGGAATAGTGTTCTCAACAACTCCAGAACAATATACGGTCTCCACTTTGTTTGGGGAGTCGCCGTGAAACTCAGCCGTACCTCCGTTCCAGGTCAAATGTTTTGAAATTCCTGGGTCGCTTCTACAGCGAACAGAATTTGGTTCAATCAGCAGACACACGGACATCACCGGATCGGATTGTCGCTTCGACTCCCGGTGCAAAGTAAGGAAAACCTCCGGCGACATATTTTTTTCGGAGTTTGTCAATGCCCTCAGTGACGGGTTCGGGATTCCGGGACGGTTCGGATGTATCTCGGGAAGGGGCGGGTTCGGTCTGCGGGCCTCGTCAAAACGGGGGGGGGTAGAGATAAAGGGAAATCGGAGGTGGCCTTTGCAACATCGCCACCCCCGCATTTGCGACTGGACGGCGCTCGATTGGTCGACCTCCATCGCTTCGACATCCTCTTAAAACTTGATGATTTTTGTTCATCCACCCATCCATCTATATCCAAGTGAACTCCTCTACCCCAACGGAATTTCTCCGGAGCGCGAATCCCACCGTCACTGATGCAAAGTAGAGAATCGAGGTCGACGGCATTTGAAAGCGAGAAAATCCCCTCTCGGAGCTCTTTCGTGCCCCTAATCACATCGAATCGATAGACTATGCCTGTCCGTACCTCATTACGGAAAAAAAGCTCTCTGCCGCTCCCTGGCAGACATGGTCGTTGAAGATCAATCCTTCACGAGATTGCTTCTCCATATTTTCCTCGCGTCGGATTGATGCCCTATCTCAACGATTGTGTGATATTTTCAGACACTTCTCCGGTTTCGACCTCACCATCTTCCTGGTGATCTACGCTCTATCTATCACGCTGTTATTTGTTGTCTTTGTTACGATGGTGTGCCGGCGGAGAAAGGGTAACTTCAACAAGAGCCACAGTTTCCTGCACTAGCACATCATGGAAGCTTTCTGAGCTCTACTCCTAGATTCTGCCTCACATATCCATATCGTTACTCAGCAGCTTGCAAGTCTGTCCTATCCTCCACATCGGCGTCGTCGCCGTGAGACGAAATCCTCCGCCGTCCCTCCACGGCGCCGATATTGACCCCGAATTCTTGCCACAAGCAACTCAAGCGAGGGACAAGACACAGAGACCTTAACGAAGCGAGTGAGGGTTCCGAAATTCCGTACGCTTGTTCATATCTCATAGCTTACCTACCTCGCTCACGTTACGCTGGGGACTGCCGGTCTGCCGCGTCTCGTTTACTCTACAAAATGGGATGTGTTCTGCCCCGCTGCTGGGTGCTCCCCTCGTTGCCGAGCGAGGCTCATTGTGTATTGCCAAAGTTTCATTGATGGTTGTTTTATCTTGGCTGTGATTTAGGAAGACAACGGACGATACTCAGGTCGCTTGAAACCCATTGTGAATAAAACGCTGAACAACGTATTTTCATAAAATACTATCGTTTTGTCGAGGGATGGTCCGCACCAATGTTTCGGTCTCTTGAACGATAGGGCACTACGTCGTTTTTTCCCGTATTTCGCAAATAGTCGACTTCTATCTATTGAATAAGAATCAATGCAATTCTATCATTCGCGTTTGGTGGGAGGATCACTCGGAATCTCCGAGATCAGGAGTCATAGACCCATACATTCAACGGATATGTCAGTTTTAAGCCCCCGATAAGTTTCGGTTGGCGTTTATTTTCAGAATTGATATTCTCTTTATCCTGTTGTTTCTCTCTGCGAGTTGCTCAATGGCGCCACCCCGACCCAACGAATCTGTGCTTCGGACGATTAACCTACGGGAGCTCTTCCACGATCTCAGATCTCAGGCTGACTCGAAAACAGTCGGGGAACTCGCTGGCAGAAAGCTTGGAAGATGCTTCGCGCACGTTCCTGCTCACTGTTTTACAAATCGAGATGAATTAATATACCTGAAATACGTTTTGTATTTTCTTGCTTTTTTAGACGTGAATCTCTCCATTCTGCATCGAGGAAGTACTGGAGCTCCTGATGAGACCTCGATAGGCTCGATGTTGTGATGGAACTCCAACGCCCAAGTTTCCCGTGACCGTGAGCTCCCTGAGGACTCGTGCCGCGATCAGGATGTCCTCAATTGTACTTCTAGCAGCTCGGCTCGGCGATCCTCCTCTAGCGTCCTCACTGGATACACTAAATGGTTGCCGTTGTCCGTCGAGAAGAGTTCGTGCTCTCGAGGGTTGTACGTAAGGAAGGTTGTGTTCGCAAATGGATTTGTGAAAGCGATCGGAGCCTGCGGATCGGACAAGAAATCCTATTGCTTGATGTATTTTCAATAAAATCGCCAGTCTTTCAAACATCATTCCGGAGCTTGGAATCAAGGATTGTTCGGCTCTTCCACATTTAGATCTCTACCTCAAGGCTGATAATGGTGTCGGCTAATAGGTCGTACGCGTACATGTATATTTGCGCATTAGGTTCCGTGACGGAGTTCACTGCGTACAATACTCCGCACATGATGAACATCTGACCGATCTTCTTGTGCGGGAGCGTCAAATTCCAGATGAACTGTTTCTCGAAGGTTTTCTCGTCTATCTGAAAGCGAAGAAAAAATCAGATGAATCAGAAGCGGTGCGTCAGACTGTGGATCGAAATTTTTCGTCGAGCCTCACACCTTGAGGATCATCGTGTTGTTGGATCGAGTGCTGGAGTAGATGATCCAGAGTCCGTTCTCATCGGCAGATATCATCGCATAGTTTTGTTGTTGGCCGAATAGAAAAGTTCGATTCGAGAATGCCATATCCTCGACTGCGAGGACGGACATCTCTCCTTTCCTGGAAATTTCCCCAAAACCTCATTTCGAGAATCCCTCTTTTTCTGCACCTAAGAGCAACGAACCAAGCGGCTCATGGTTTTTCTCGGTATCGAGAGAGAATGTTTGAAAATTTTCGGGGAAACGATCTTATGCCCTTTCTTCTCTCGGAGGGGGCCACGTGATGGCATGGGTATCGATGAGTCATAGGAGCTCGTGAATCGGGATGCGGAAAATCAGATTGAAGTCCCCAGAACAAATACTTGGAGGCTTTTTCAGTATCACACCGACGGATCGCTCGAGTCGATGGTGCATACAATGGACCTGCGTTCGAGCTAATGACTACACATCCTTCAGAGACGCCGCTCTCGGAAGAGGTTCTGGGTCCGACACGGGGGTGTTAGGGCGAATACTCCCGCGAAACCGTGCGGATTGTCTCCCAGGGACGGAGTCGCGTAGCCTGCTCGAACCGAATAAACATGGGTGTAGACCGCCGAGCCGTCGAGGCGATCACAATACTCACTCGAAGGATCTCGAATGGAGAGGAACACGCACTATATTGTTAGATGCGTTTTGATGATAATAAAAGGTTCCATTTATCAGAAGATTGCCGTTTCCGTGAAAGGGAGAGATCAGCGGTATTCCCTTCGAAAACGTTCCATTTTGGAAGAGTTCTCGTGTCTGGAATGGAAGTGCTATTGTCCAGGACTTCATTCGGAGCGGCGATTGCAAGCGATCAGGAAGAGTGTCTCTGATTCGACTACAAACTTTGAACATGTAAAGATGGGTGTTGTCCCCGTGTTTGGTAGCATAGAAGACACGCGTGGCGTTCTCAGAATCCGGGTGGTAGACCTCGTCCTGCCACCAGGCAGAATACGATGTGCCGTTTTCGAGATACATCACCGGTTTCCCCACGCGACTTAGACGAGAGTCCAGAGTGCACCCTGAAAAATCAAAAACTCGAGCAAGCCCTTTCGACTGTGGGGAATTCTCGTTGGCAAGGATTGCGCGGACATTTCTGAACTGTCTGGGGCTTTATCTTTCCAGAGCCTTGGGAACTATCGCACTAGCAGAGACTAAAACCTCGCAAGCCTGTGTTGCGGGATCCGCCTCTCTGGAAATGCGGAAAAACGAGTTCGGAGTCCCGAGTCACCTCCAGCGCGAGCTCACCCGGATGCCTGTCTGGTTTCCTGGTCCAATTGCGTTTATCCACATCGCTGTATTCATTGCGTACGTCCGCCATCTCCGGGAGAGCGCTCTTACAGCGGCACTCCGGGCATTTCCTCAAACATTGGGCGTGCTGTTTCTCCTTAGCCTCTGCGGAAAATAAGCTCTGCGACTGGATGGCTCCCGTATAGGATGTGAACGGGTCTTATCGGAACAGATATCACTCACCTGTGCCGAACGTGGCCTCTTCGCTGGACGACCTCCAGTCAAGAGGTTCGTTTTGATCTGGGAGATGCATAACTACAATTACTAGTTGTGTCCTTCAAGCGAAGAGCCTCATGAGACTGCAACGCTCCCAAACATGCAGTGAACACTCAAGTCCGGAACACAAGATATCTACAGAATATCCACGCCGATCGAGTCACTGCAAGCTATTCTGTCATCAGTAGATTATGTGTTTTCGGAAATCGTGATCGTCGTGTGATCGGCAGACTAGGAGTGTGATTCTCATCGCTCCTCCTTTTCATTGTGCGGTTTCTGATAACGTGGTCGAATTAATGACTGAGTGAGGTCTCGCAAGAGAAGAAATTGGTCTTCCGTTGAATTGTTCGGAACTCGGAGTGAATTCATTCGAAAGTCAACCAGCCAACCAGCTAGTGCGACATTCATTCGGTCCCCGGTTCATTTGGGAATCGTCATTTTTCTTCGTTGTGCGCGTGTTCCTAGCTCTGTGGCGTTCGTTCGATCGCTAACATCCGTCTACACTCTTCTTACTACTAAGATCGATGGTTCCAACGGCTTGTCCCCGAACATTTTTCGACACGCAGAGGTAGCTCCCAAGATCGCTGGGAGTTACGTAGGTTATGTTCAATGTCATTCGATGTTGATACGAGCTGAGCGCTTCGTCCTTGGGAACGTACTTCAGAGACGATTCTGGAACGTGAGGGAGGATTTTCAATTCATCGAAGCGATGCATGTTCTTTTCCGGATGTCACCGCGTGGCCACCGCAAACAGAAACGGGATCGAATTCGACATCGCGATCCGTATTCTCTCCGCACGGGTCCTGAGATGGTCTACTGCCTCCATATGACTCATCTCGAAAGCGATCACCGGAAAGCCAAATAGCTCGGCAGACGTTCCATTCTTCCGCTTCGATTTTACGCAAAGGAAAAACACAGCATTTCCGTGAGTAGGTACATGCCTACGTAGTTCACTTCAAACCCGAAGTTCCACTCGCCGATGATGTTCCCCGAGCGCGAAATCCAGAAATTCACTGGAGGCGGATAGGCTTCGGTGAGGCACTCGAGAACGACCCCACCGCCGTTCCAGCTCGCCACGTTCCATTTTTGAATCCGTATCAAGGGAGCAACTGAAAGCAGATGAACTCTTTCTCTGGTTGTCTCGCACCCTCGCGCGATAGATTAATCCCTCACCAAACTTCTATTGCATGACCACGCGGCAGCTCACGCACAGGCCACGTTCAATGAGATCGTTCGGGAGGCGATCGGCGGAACTCCGTTCGCTGCTGTGCACGCGTAGACCCCCATGTCGGCACGTGTGACCAAACTCATGTTCAGCTGCTTGTCTCCCACGCTAGACACTGGAGTGTAAACGGGTTTAGCGCCACGGAGCCCGCTCTCATGAGGTAAGAGTTTGCGACTCACACTCGCTGATATTCCTCGGGGTTACGAACCGTGAGGATTCCCGAATATCGGCTTGCCATCGATTCTGGACCACGCAACGCTCGGAGTTGGCTGGCCGGTGGCTGAACAGACGAGGCCCAGACTCACGCCTTCGTTCACTTCCACGGACGACGACTCCGTACTAAGTACAATCTCCGGAGGAACTGGAATTATCGAAATCGAGTCTTCTCGCTTCCTTTCATTACCGTCAGTTTATTCGTCAAGCTTCAACGAAATCTCTCTACGTTCGTCCGTACAGACGAAGTACCCGGGGGGAATTCCATGCGGCCCAACTAGGTTGAATTATCATTTCGAAAAAATACGACCTATAAGAATCAAACCGTGAAGGAATCGAACTCGCAGTGCTTTTTGATGGCGGAGTATGCGCGCGACAGAAAACTCACTCAGAAGATCCTTCGCTGATTTCAAGTCGGAGTGCTCGGGAATCCACGTTTGTATTCCAGGGATTCCAGCTTCACCCCTTTCGCCGTGGTCTCCTTTCGGACCTCGTTGTCCCCGCAAGCCAGGAAACCCTGCTCGCCATGGAATGTGGTTGAATATTTTTAAGGGTTCCCTCGTCAATTATCCAATCCCGACGAGAATAGACATTCGAAAAAGTGAAAACCCTCTCTTTTTCCGATTCTCCGATTACTGTGACCAACCTGAGTCGCCTTTATCTCCTTTCTCGCCCGGAACGCCGTCGATTCCTGCGGAAAAAACAACCTGAGGATCCCTATGATACTGAAACCGATTTCCCCAATCAGTGCAGAGCGCTCCCGCCTCGAGTGGGCGATTTGGAGTCATCGATTAGGAAGAGACTAACAGTTGAAGTCAGGCGGATTTCCACAGAACTCCAAATACCGAGAGTGAGGGATACTTATGCTGTCTCAAGCGTTTTACATAGATCCGATAATAATGGACGCTCCTATCTAGGTATGCCATCGATTCACTAACCGTTTACGCCGTCGGTTCCATGACTACCGGGTATTCCATCCTCCCCTTGCTCTCCCTTGTCGCCTTTGGGACCATCAGCACCCTGGGCACCCAAGGTTCCATCCAAGCCGGGTTGGCCGGGAGTTCCGTCTACGCCGTCGAGGCCAGGCTCCCCTTTCGAGCCTGAAGCCGCAGTGAAGATCTTTGAATCCATCGCGGGGCGAGGAGAATCGTCGATTTATAATTCGAATGCCGCTGACCTTTCAATCCTGGTGGGCCGATGGGTCCCAATTCTCCTTTCTCACCTACATTGATATCGTATCACGATCACTATTCAAAAATGTTCCCTGCGATCGCGGGATGCGTTATGGTGATTGTGATTAATAAATGATCAAATCATCGATTTACAGTCGATCAGGGAAAAACACCAGAACCCACCACGCACGTATTCCGAGTTGCAGTATGTGGAGCTGTCTTTGCAGAATCGAGTCATGACGTCCATCTGCGAAATTCGATTCCAATTAGACTGTCGCGGCAATCAGAGACATGCTCCTGCAAAGTCAGGGTAAGAGCCGCGGGGGATGCATTTCCCAGGCATTTCTCAATCGATATCTATCCGAGCACAAATCGGTATCGCTCGTACTCAGGCTCGGAACTCCCATCGTAGAGCTTCGAGTCTGGAGATCCGATTTCTCGTTTTGATCTGACAATTAGTTCGCGTCGGCTATCGTGGGAAGGACGAAGGTCTCGCAAGGATCCGTATCCACCCACCGGTACCGTTGCGTAGTATTCCGGCGACTTGGGGTGTTGACGAGTTCCATTGACGTTGAAGGAAACGCCTCCACTCGGAGCGCCCGTCCCAGCTTCCGGTACTTCGGGCGCAATCGCACCCTCCAAGTCAGTTTGGCGCTTCGCCTGACGGCGATGAACGGTCTGCGGCTCCAATAACCGGAGAACCTGATACAACAAAGAATATTGTGTGATGATGAAATGTCGGTCATGAGCATGCTTCCGCATAGTTATTTATATAAAATTAATGGTTGGGTTTCGCATTGCGACTCAAATCCATGCGCTCCACCCCCGGCGCCGCGCCGGTACGTATTTTCGGGGATAGAGTCCGATCTTCCACCGCATTCACCTCTTTCGCCACGGCGCCAACCTGGTCGTCTGAGGCGGCTCGGAGCTGGCAACGAGCATCGATCACCAGACATAGGTTCATCACTGACACTGCACCGAGCACCGTTAAGTAGCCGATCAGCGTTCGGGAGATCGCGGGCTGATCAGAAGTCATAGCAGCCGTGGTCGATCGCACCATTCTCGGATCGAAATTTCGAGAGGAGCACTCAAGAGACACTTTAGAACACTTTACGGAACTTTGAGCGGAGGTGCTCGCATATCACGGAACGTATCGAGCGCATTCGGAATCACATCGGATGAGTCCGCGGCTGTCGAGAAGCGCGAATAGATTGTCCAGCCCGCTCAGACGAGATCTGATGGCGTCGTTTAATGAGCCTCGCTGATATCCGGCATCGGTTTCGTTAGACGCCACGGTGCTGTTGCGCTTTTCCAGACCCTGAGTTTCGTATGCGCTGTCTGACAATCAGTGGGAAGAGCAGCGAGCCGGTTTCTCCTGCTCTCCCAGCTGAGACCTCTCGCATCTGTTGCTCTTATTCGACCCGGCTAGTTGAGACGACTTTCTTCATTCGAGTCGGAAGCTCTCCCGCTTCCATTCAGACATTGGTGCAGTAAGGAAATTAATTATCGCTATCCTCTCAGGTTTGATATCGTTGTTTCTCATAAGGATACTCCGAATCGAGGAGCTTTGTGGGGTCCTAGTGCACCGTAGAGCGTCGAGAAAACGGTCGAGATTTTCGGTTCTCGGAGATCGCGTATTTCGCGCTGGACCGGTTCACAAAGATGGGAAAAGAAGAACAGTCGGCAAATGTTAGATATGGCGAGCCTGGTGTTGCAGGACCCGAGTTTTGACGAATCGCTATTTTTAGCAGCTGTTGACGTTTCTCAGACAGAGCTCAACTGGCAGCGTTCTGGACCTGTTGAAAAATATTCCGACACTCAGCCGACTGGTCCAAAGGGCCAGTCTATCTCCTGCGGCGGCTTGCACGTTGCATCGACGTCAAGTTCATCGGGCTCTCGCTGCTTTGACTCTCGTAAACGGCTCTTCCCAAGAGAAGCGGAGTATTCATCCCGAGGTTGCCTCAGTCTGCGGGGGTGAAACCCATAACCTCGTCTCAGGTCTCGACCAATTCATTCCTCAATGCATCATGATTCCTGGCTCTCTCTCCTCTCTGACTCTCCATCTCCCTCTCTCTCGATACAATATTTCGCGAAGAGGTCTCCATTCTAGATTCGAGAGGAAAGGACACTCGGGAGGGCTCGGCTGATGATTTCATCGGAGGAGCGATCCGAAAGTACTGATCAAAGCCTGGAAGGGCCAATCCAAAATCCTGCGCTAGAATGGAGGTCTACCAGACTAGTGATGACTGAATCTCCGCGCATTATCGGGACGTATCAAGACCGATCGGCCCTGAGGACCATCCTCGTCGAGACTTCGGCCGGGCGCAGGCGTCTGTATGTACCGCACCTCCTACTACCGATGACCTCTCGATTATACTGAACGCTGGGGAAACTTCAGAACCCAAAGAAACCATTGCATGGTCCGCAGAGTTCCTGGTGGCTACAAGATCGAGAGATAGCCGCTCAGCCCGGCGAACTTCGCTCCGACCGAAGGAGCAAAAAAGAGAAAGTGCGGTCAAGAGCAACGCCATTAGCAAGATAGAGCGGAAGGCTAATCAAGTTCTTGTCCTTCTCCGGGTACTCGCGGCTCCGTTAAGCGGAAATCAATTCACTGGCGGCTATCGCGCCTCGGCATAACGATCCAGTTATGGGACAAACTCGCAGAACTCGCCCTCTCGAGCGAGACCGCACAACGACGCCGACCGCGGTTTTCTGGCAAAGAGAGAGAAGGAGCGCATGAGGAAATATCTCGGATGTTCCGAGCTTGGAGTCGTTCCGCGGATGTTCGACTCACTGGGAGACCGTGAAGGGTGGATCTCAGCGTTTTCATCTATTTTTGTTCGTGGACAGGTTTTGCCTCTCTGCTGGGTCCCGTTGAAGGACACGATTGTCGTCAGCCGGGTGTTAGCCACCAGCGAACATGAATGGAATTGACTCCGTCTTGCCACGCTCGACACGGAGCGCTTATCCCGAAGCGGTCTTCTCTGAGCTTGACCTAATCGAGCAGAATTCATTAGCGGAATCCGCAATCCCGAGTTGGTAGAGCCCGCGACATCCAATCGCTGAACGCAAACTCAAGCCAATCTATTCCGTTTGACGGGCCTTCGCCGACGTATCACACCAGGATTAACGTTTCACCCACACGGCGAACCGCCCCCATCGCCGCCAGAGGCGTCTCACCGAAGGAGTAGCCTTCTGCTTGTCGAGCATTGATTCACGGTAGGCGACTTATTAATAGAGATCGATGAAGAGCCGAGTCGGCCGCGCTCGAGATTCCTCGTCGAAGCGTGCCTCCCATTCAACTTCTTGTCTTACGGTCCGTGAGAAGCCGCGGACACTCCGACGCCCCCGGAAAATCGTTGAAGGGCACGAGACTTCTCACTGGGGCTTCTCATTGCCAATGAGGTCCCGGGGATCTCAGATCAGCCGTTTCAATTGGGGAAGTCCCCTGTAGTCTAAATCGATGATCGGAGGCTCTGTGAAATACTCATCAGGGTCCCCGCCAGCCTATTCCGAGAAAGAGGAATTCTTTATTTGTCGATGGATTCAATTGCGTTGATGCAGGGACGGAGTATTGATCGAGAATAGCGAGAGAGTCAATGCAATGACCAAAACGTGAACTTTTCTAGTTTGCCATCCGTGGCTGCCTTCGCCAAACAGGCCGACCTTGCGAAATACACGGTCAGCGCGCAACTGAAAACGAGTATTTCATCACTCCGGGGCACTCGCAGCACGACTCTTTATACAAACGTGACTTTTCCGGCTGTGCTCAAACGTTCCGCGTTAGTGAGCCAGCTGGCGATGACGATTATTGCTCTCCAAACGACTCGAGTCCCTGGAGGGTTCCAGCATGCACGATGTTTAGGAGGAGAGTAGTTTATTATTCGATTGAAGAATGGGAAAATTCGCTTGAGCTCTAGAGGGACAGGCTTTACCGTATTCGTTTACCTCGATGAGAGACCGTACTTCACAAAACGTACAGCAGAAATTCGACGGCATATATTCGATGGGGCAGCCCGATAGAGGTAACTCGGCGATACTCCCTTGATAATAATGATTAATGATTCATCTGCGGGATCGTGCTTAGGCTCCTTGGAATCACCGGCTATATCCATCCTTAGAAGAAAAATCCGAGATGTTTGCGCGAAAAAGTTTCCAGTTGTGGTCTAAGGAAGGACAGGTAACGCATCTCGAGCGGAATATGCACCGCTCGCATGCGGTAGGAATGACAGCCCGACAGCCAATATGCATCAGAAAAGCTCGTGCCCAGATTTGGGTGGGTTGGGATCGTGGGTCCCGAATCCGGTGAACGTTTCTTTGAATTCGCTCTAGTTCTGGAGTGATCCAGTTATTCAGATCTTTCAGCTTCCGAGTCTTTCACCGCTCCAGGGTAAGCTGGAGCCATGTTTTAGGAACATATAAACCCAGACCTTGACCATCCCCGGTTTGAGCTTCACGTAATGAGGAGCCATGGTCTCCGAGTAAAGATGATAATTGAGGCTGTGCTTTCAACGGGATTCCAACGACACGGAATTCGTGACAGGAATGGTCCAAGCCTAGGTTCTAGCTCTAGGTCACTTGGACCGGAGGAGAATTCCAATGTCAAAAAACCCGAAGAATCGAGATAATTCGGAAACCAGAGCGAATTCGGAGAAACGGTCGCTGCATTCGGCACTTACAACCTCGACTGAGCCGCGATTTAGGTATCAGCTCCTCTGCTTGAACTATTTTTTCCCGGTTGGACTATATCTTAGACAGAAATCATGGAGCGAACTTTTGAACATTGTCACCATGCCCTTCCGATTGGGGTGGACCGGGGTTCGGACACCACTTGAGAGACTCGAATGTCGATCCGACACGGGGAGCCGACTCCATGAACCCTTCTCGCTCCTGACGCGGGTCCATTACGAACGCGTTCCGGTGAGCCACCGGTCAGCCAGGACGGCCGAAGTCGGACAGCTTGCTGCTCTGAGGTTTTTCACCACGAGCGAGCCCCGCCTCGTCCGTTACGCCCTCGAAAGTTGACTGCAAGCTCCAGTGGTTCCCGATAGCTGTCACGTTTGTAGATTGCTTGGCAGCCAGCCAGTTCGGGCTGAAGCCCTTAGTTTGCAGTCCAGCGCGTCTGTTTGCCGCTTAGTCGCGGGAGCCGTCGCCGGCTGGCTCCTGTCCCGATACATAGCACGGATACCGATGTGTCCGATGCCTTCTCTTCGCTGAATCGGTCCTCCGCATGAGCAGGAATTGACGGAGCGCAAGTTGCATCGTGCAGTACGCTGCATACGGAAAAACGGATCTTCTCATTGGACCGGGATTCCATACGCCAATATGGATATAGATATTTTCGGGCCGAATAATGGTTCAGGAGTAGGAGCTCTCGTAGTGTTGAAGAGAAGACCGACAGTTTTCGATCGAGATGAATGCATCGTTCATCGAAGGGGATTGGATTCAGACCAGCAACCGACAACCATAAGATGGAAGGCGAAGCGACAGAGAAACCCAAGACATCGGAAAAGCTCCGAGAGCTCGACGCGTCTCCCGAATCCCGGAACTCAGAATCGAAACAGCATCTCTCCGTTCCGGCAATGGGCAACGAGGGCGAAAACGTGAATGAAATATCAGAGAAAACTTCGTCCGGGAATATTCTGCGCTCTAGTGGCAGCTCGCTCTGGATTCTGGACGTGGAACATACCGAAGAGGACCGGCTTGCATGAGATGACGTTGAGAATCGGGCTGTCTAGAATCCTCACCTCTCTGGAGTCTGATAAGACTTCATGCAACTGCCTCATTCCCGACTCCGCAGCACCATAGACCCGAAGTGAAGCTCCAAAGACATCTTAGTAGAATTCGGGATGAGGGCAGGACCAGGGCGCATCGAAATTTTCCCCTGAAGATTATAGATGGATTGCGTAAGGTTAGACAAACCCGAGACCGAGACGTACAAATGAATCCAGTATATATGTACATATCTCCCATAAACGTTGCAACCGCTTATAGCGGCGCTTAGGTTTCTGGCTGATTCATCTTTCCATTAGCTCAGCATCATCATCGACGTCGCATGCAAATGAGTCATGCGGGTATCGCAGCTTTCGGCAGGGCTAGACTTTTTGTTGCTCGGTGTCATTCGTCCACGTCTCGGAGCTCCGCGCTGCTCTCGATTTGGGGATCTACCGCGATCGGGTCTCAACTTGTGATATAGGAGCGAGTTTCGACAGAGCTAATCGTCGTAAATCCATCAAAATAATCAAGGGATGGAGCCGTGGAGCGGATGGAGCCTGCACATCGAGGTTACCCCCATGAGTTGCACCATTCCCATTGAGGAGATAATCTGGTTTGAGCACCGGAGATGACACCCAATCGACCTTTGGCTGATCGTGATAAGTTGATGACGCTCCCAGCTATAGCCGTACAACATCTCATCCGCGGATCCTGTGTCAGGACAAATGAGCGTTCTGGGTCTCTGCGGATCGCCACTTGTGGAATTGAGCATGATATCCGTGAAACTTCAGCGTGGATGAACCCAAGGTCAGGCTTCATTCAGAACTGGATTCTTGACGTGAGTAAATCTCGAACGGGGAAATCATGAAGTGGTCTCGTCTGACTCGAATGATTCGGGTCTTCCTCATCGCCTCCCAAGCTTGGAACGAGGGGACTCCTACGAGCGTTAGCGCGTTCACAAGCCTATTGGAGGACCAACCGAGGTCCACTACGGAATGGTGAGTCGGGAAACCGGAGCATAGACTGCTTTGAGGCTCGGAGCCGTGTACGACGGAGAGAGAGACAGTAACAGGACCTGTCGCGATCCGTTCAGTTTATTAGGAGGAACTCTGGGGGACAGCTCGGATCTACGCGACGTACTTCCGCCTCGAAGATAGAGAATTGATACGTCAATACTCCAGGCTCGCAGTCGCGTTCGACTCGACGGTAAAGGACTGCAAAGTCCGAATTTCCGATTGAGGAGGTTCCGGGAGACGCTGCTGGGGGTATTCCTCACTAACCGGGAAAACACCGGAGAAGCGCCTGATTTCGGGATCGGGAGTCCCGAACCTCCATATTCTGATCTCTGGCCTGGCTAACTCTTCTCGGAAGCTTCACGTTTGCTGTGACTGCGTCTGTGAGCAACAATTGGCTCGGCAGTCGACCCAAGTCGATGACCGTCAAAGAGCCGTCCTTTCGATGGTCTCTTACGATGTTCGGTTCCTTTCTGCAGGACGGTCAGCTGTTTTCCGTAAGCCTCAGGACTGGATGAATACTTGCTTCGATTGGATAGGGACGCTCAGATGAATATCGTTAATGATCCCGCATCATCGGAAAAGCCATCAGAGTCATGGCTCGGGCGCTTCATGCTAGAACTGTGGCTTATTATGTGCACCCTAATGAGCTACATGTTCCTAGGGAGCATGAAAGCGAACCTTATCGTGCCGACCTTGAGGGTAGACAAGTTTACGTCAAGTTGTCGATCATCTAGAGCTGACTTTGTTCTATAGAGGTAAAATGCCGGCAGAAAACACGATTAGCGTGAGTTGATCCTTGGTTGGTCCCTCGTTCATCCGGTGTCAGGAGTCAGGATGCGATAAGCGTCGCCACAGCAGAATATGTAGTAGGTAGTCTGATTGTAAGAGGAAACTGAGAACGACGAGCTGTTATGGTGTTGCGCCTCATAATCTTCGATCGCGTAAGGCGACAGAGCGGGTATTCAATCAGAGGTGATCAATAAACTGAGTCGTTCCTCGTGGCGAACGGAGTTCTTCCGCTAGCAGCTACAATCGTATGGAATAGCTGGGCTCGCTTCTCTTCAATGGGAGAAGTCGGTGATCGACTTCGTGAACATGTCGGGATGATTGCGGGAGGGATAGTTCCTTTCAAGGACCTTCACACCGATTACGTGCGCGACGCCCTGGCCGAAAGACGGGGAGTCATTTTGACGGAGCATGAATTCTCGGCATATCGGAATGATGCGTGAACTGCGTGTAAAGTCGTTTCACATGGCGGAAGAGACACATCCGAGATTCGTGGCCCCCATGCTCGAATCGAGGACCTCCCCTTTCAATTTTCGTTGAGAAATGGTTTCGAGATGAGTGTTTTACACTTTGGCTCCATTCCACGACTTCAAGTGACCAGGATTTGCCATGCGCAGTGATGTGCGATTTCCCACGATCGATGTCTTCAGCGTGCAATATAGAATGATCGCTTTCGTTAACTTTGAAGCCCGAATTATTCCGTCGACAGGATGATGTGGCTAGTTTGGCCATTGTCGTTCCCTTCGGGAGCGAAAGGGAATACCTCGGAGGGTACCTTGAATGTTCGGTCAGCTAAGAAAAGGAAACGTCGGACAGCATATATTCGATTCGTGTTCAGCTTTTCGAAGGAAATTCGCAGCGGTCGCCTGCCGGGTCTCATTCGTGTCTCTCGAAATTCCTCCTAGAATTGATCGTCTTCCACGTGGGTGAATATCTCACAGGAAAATCATTATTGAGATCGCAGAGCTAGATGAAACTCATATGGGGTGAAGAGCGACCAGACACGAGCGGGGAGTCTGTTGCAAATTTATTCAGGCTACTAAGTGAGACAACATTAAGCTCAAGTGGTGATCAGCAGAATAATTGAAGGCGAAAGTAGGCTATGTACTCGAGCAAATGTCGTCCGTGACGCGTCGCGAACATTCCCAGAGCATAGCGAAATTTCAAAACTCGGGACCAGTGTTTCTGGTCATCGGCGACCTCAATCTCGGGGACTTGGGAATATTTGCGTCACGAAGGAATGAAAAAATTCAGTGAACAGCCCAGCTGATCAGATCGCCGCATTTCCTGGCTCTATACATTCCACCGCCCGGCCGATACCGGATACAACTTCGAATCTGGAATACATCTTCCTCCGCTGTCATTATCTCTGAGTTTCGTCTATTTTCTGGATATTGGAAGTCGATTCAGCTCTGAATGCTCAGGATGGCTCATTTCTGCGCCGGATCCCGCGTTAACCCGATCAATCTACCTCCTTGAGTCATGGCTTCTGAGGAGCGTGACTATGTGCAGAGCTCAAGTCTGGCTCAACGGATGTCAGAGCTCGCGACTGAAATCGACACCCTCGGCGGTGATATCGGCGGACCCATCTACCGCTACGAGCTTTCCGTTATCAGGATGCTATCTCCCACTAGCCAGCCGGACGAAAGGCGAACACCCGATGGGCTGATATGCTGAACGCCTAGTATGCTGCCGAAATATTAAATTCTCCGGGGCATTCATGCGTGAACAAGCATGGAGATCCTTAAAAGTTCTGAAGAAGCCTGTGGGTCTGGGAAAATTCGCAGAAGTGAAAACCGGCCTGTCTCTAAGCTTCCTCGTCAAAGCATCTGAGCAGGTATTCTCTCGCTTTGTACTTTGTGGCGCATCGTCGACTTCGTCAAGGAAGGAGTGTGCGTGTCAAAATTCGCTACTTAATCCGGGAGAATCACGACCAACCTCGGGATTGAGTCACACCCGGTGCCTACAAAGACGAATCTATTCCACCGAAGCTTTCGGCTTCGAGGTCCAAATCTCGCCGGGAAATCTCCGTCCGATATGCTCTGAAGCATCGAAGCCTCCCGCGATTGCTGACGCTCGCTCGCTGAGCCCCGGAGTCGTTGTTCTCGGAGGGGGTTCTAGTTTTGCAGGTTTCCCAATTTTGCTATGAATGAAGAAACCGATATCTAACGACCAATCAAGACGCGGCGATCTGTATGACGTAGCGGATTGCGTAGGTCTCATAGCTCCGACTAATCCGGCGAGTAGCGTACTTAAACGAGCCGTTGCACATTGAGTCACTCATTGCGACCATGAAGCTGTTGAGCACATTGTTGACTTTCGTCGCTCTGATCGCAGTGGGTCTGTCACAAAATGTGCGCTTGGATTCGAGCATGGTTGTCGACGATTCTCCAAAGCTAGGAATGTGCGGCGACAAGCTCTCCGATATTCTCATTATGGTGTGTAAACCGTTCGGAGGCATCGCTCGACGGAAGAGGGGCGGTATGTCGAGTAAGTTCTCCTCCTTTCTTCATACCTCGATACGCATCAGCTTCTCCGGTGGTAAGCCCTTGTTTCGGAAACTCACATCTCGTTTGTTTTTTCCCCATAGCGAACCCGCTCTCGGCCTATATGTGGCACCGGAGCACGAGGGAGCTCGTCTGCATGAATAGAACGCAGAGCGCGCCTTGTTTCTGCTGTTCGAAATTCCACGGGCCGTGCACCATGAACACACTCATCGCTAACTTCTGCGCACAACCGGCGCCGGAATTCGACAAATACTATATTCACGATTGAGAGCATCAGTTGACAGATATTTATTCAAATTTGTAACTTGGTTCACTGCCGTGACGAAAAAAATCAACTCGTGCTTCACTCTTTTTCGATGAAGGATTGTAGACCCACATATGGATGACCGCATTTAAGTAACTAGAGTCGAAAAATAAATGTTCGAATATATAACCATTGCGATCGTTCCTCGGCGCGAGGATACCGCTCAGCTGATCGAGAGCTCGAAGCTCATAGCCTTCTGGAGCGGGGTCGCGTCTCGGCGACGGCGTCTCTCGAATGCACCATCCCTATCGGAGCACGGGAACTTTTGCCTGTGGTCTCCTCTTCTGGCGTACGTGCATATATCGACCCAGGATCCGGAGTCCGTCTCGTACAGGCGGACCCGCTTATAAGAGATACGCATATAAGAGACTTGCGCTTATAAGAGACTTGCGCTTATAAGAGACAGATTCTATTCCCCGGTTCCCGAGCCCATGGACTCCCATGTTAAAAAAATCGCATATAGGAGACTTGGGAACTCGCTTATAACAGAAACTCGCTCATAAGACACTCGTCACGATTGCCCTTCTGATAGGATTCCATGTTGAAGGATTCGCTTCGAAGAGACAGTAAACACTTTCACTACGAAACGATTTTTCCCGATTCCGACTGCTTGTTAGGCCTTCTAGACGCGCCTTAGGCTATGCGGACCCGTGAAGAAAGCTTCATCATTTCCAACCATTTCATCCGCGATTGGGTGTTTCCGCGCATAAGAGAAACTCGCATATAAGAGACTTTTTACGGTTCCCCGGGGTGTCTCTTATGAGCGGGTCCGACTGTACTAGCTTCGAGTCGACTCGCAGATCGTTGAAGAAGACCGTCGTCTGACGAGAAGCGGTCAGAGCTCGATGCGGTCGACGTCTTCGGAGAAACATATTCTCTTCACCGAATCGGGCGTTTTTAGCGTCAGACATCCTTGAGGCGGAACCGCGGCTCTGACTCAACATAATTCATTGAAGCGAGATCTAATCTCAAATCTTAGTTCTCTGTGGTGAAAGCCGACTACGGCGATGGATAGAGATCAGGATCTCCATGGATTTTATAATTGATCGATGACCGGCGAGCCTTGCAGGGCCGGTTTCGATGTAGGATGAGGAGCTCAGGATGGAAACGTCTCTTCGTCGGAATCTCCGGTCAATTTCCAGAGCGCGAGGTTCCTCCCGAAGTAATTCGAGGAGCATGAATCGAACCGTCGATAGTGTTACCGCGAAACGATGACTTGAGCTTCCATACAGCAATGTTGCGGGAAGGAATTCTTTGGCAAATGACGAGGAAAAGCAGCATCGGGTCCCTTCATGTGGCGGTGCCTTCGCGGTAGTTTCGGTTTCGTTATATACCGGGGAATCATTATCATAATCATTATCGGGAGAAAATCTTCCAGTGACCTGTTTGAATTCGTCAATTTCACTCGCTGCTGGGATGCACTCGAATTGCGAAGATGAAAAGACGGCGTTCGGAATCATGGTACGATACAGTGAGAGCTGGATAACCTTGCCTTCGTTGGGGACCTCGCCAAATTACAGGTTCCTGAGGGGACAGGCTGTCCCAACGATCGAGCGGACAGCGAAGAAACATCGTACAAGTATTTTGTAGAGCGTCCGCCGGAACATTTGATAGTTTGAGAAAAACAGTATTCACCGGGGAGGCTTCCAAGCTTCTTCGTATTAGCATATCGGATGAGCGCGATTATCACACGGAAAGTTAGGCTCGGTCCGCTAGTTTTCTGCGTGGAGCCACGTAGGAAGTGGGCATCTACTTCGCTTCGGACGAAACGGGAGTCTGACCGAGTCGGAAGGATAATTCGGGCAACCCAAAAGAATATAATATCCTCCAGGGGCTATCGCTTACTACGACAAGTGATCATCTCCCGTCCGAAGTGAATGTCTTCCCCGGATACTAAGCGGAGACATCAGTGAATCTTCCACCCGAGAAATAGCCTCGAGGGCCTCGAGGTTTGGCATAAAACATAGCTATCATTGATCACAAGTTGAGACGAACTTGCCGAGCCTCGGCTCGTCCGGATGTCTATAAAGGCCCAATCTCCGATATTCGTGGAGCGAATCTTCGACGATCCACCGTGAAAATCATCATCACGGTCGGAATGGGAATCGCGGGACAGACCCCGCGAACATGCGACGCGTTGCATTGTGATAAGCGAGATGCTCTCGGTCCATCAGGGGGGCCTCGGGGGCAGGGGGGGGGGGTTGCGGTCCATCTTCATACTTCTCATTGGGGACGCATTTTTTCGATGTTTTGAAGCGAAATCCGGGCCGGAAAAACATTTCAAATCCGTGAAACGATGTCACCTGAGGGCAATGGGAGCCGCGGCCGGTCTCGCTCACTTGGCTCGTGACGAGTTTATTAAAATAGATATGCCATTGTTGATTTTGATTTCCTCGCGGTGCGATCATTTCGAGGAACATCCAAAGCTTGGAAAGCGTGCTCTCTCGACTCGGATAGGAGCTAGCGTAGAGTACATTTTCTGCTGGAATGCGCCGCGTCTCGGATAGAATTCCGACAGACTTGAAAGTGTTTCGAGGACGAACCGTATTCCGGTCACCGAATTCCCTAATAGGAAGTCTCTCAAGAACAGAGCTGCGGTTTTTTCGCTTTTCACCATCCATCGCAGACACCCATCGACCGTCCCGACAGAACGCCGACCGAGTGTCACTCCTTCCGAGCTAAAGGTCTTTCCCAATGAAGTCGTTGAGCCATCTGCGTTCGCAGAAGATGCTCAGCTACGAATCGGACTCAGGGTTCCGAAATACATCGCTGTAATCTACGCTCTTTTTAACTTTAGCGGGGCAGTCAAGTTCGTTCGTGAAATCTATTCGTCATATGGGAAGGTACTCGACCCCTTCGGTACCGATTAGTCTGGGGAACTAGCCCCCTGAATCCAACCCCGGAAGCGATGGGAGGCCTCATCGGTGATATTCGGGAGCTTGGAGTTCAAGTCTAGACAAAGTCGAATATTGACCGAGCCCATGTATTAAACAAAAATACGCATGTGATTGACACGGGCAGTCGCCCAATCGCGTCACGGCAGGAGGAGCGCATGATACCCTGCCGTAAGAGGGATTGTGTCTTTGCGGATGTGTCTCGGTAAGATCCGGACCCGTCGAGCCAGATTATCTTCGTATTCTGTTTACATTAGACGTCTTATTAAAGCAGAAGGCCGCAAATAGATCAAGTGATTCCGACAAGGTTGATGATGACCTTGTTCATTGTGCTCCCTCAGGCAGACAAGGACAAACAGAGACGGAAAATTATTCTAAGGAAGAAAAGCACAATTCCGTCTGGAGTTTGGTGGGGAGCTCCCTTCCGATTTCTCCAGCAACGAGGAATCGGGAAATTGGAACTACGATGATTCGCTTCCCGCAATATTGGGCGAAGCGTGGGGAGACCCCGTGGGGGCTTGCTCCGATTCTCTATCGGAAGTTCCCATTGTTTACACTCACCTCACCGTGGAGGTTTCACTGACCAGGCCTAACCACCAGACTGAGTGAGGTTGGACGAAACTCAACTGCTCCTCGGCATCCCAACAGATGCTCTGACCCGATGAGCGACAACGCCTTGAAATCGGAAATCCTCGTGGATTTTCGCGGAGCCATGCTTTTCGAGACCTCGATGCTTTATTTGACGAGGATTGACTCCAAAAACTCGTATGGGCTCGAGAAAGCAACCGAAGTCTTGAGTCTCGACTTAATGAAGCCTCCTTGTGCCGTCTTCGCGTTTTGAAACGCTATGCCGTTGCCTCTTCTTCTTGTGTTCATAATTGACGAGGCAGTCGAGTATCGGGGGCTGTAGTCGGAACGGAATAAGCAGCTCGGGACTGCAGCTTCCAGGTTTTTAGGTGGCTCGAGCCGGCGTGAGGCGGAGGACGAAGGAGCTGTGATTTCCGACTCTCCTTAGAGGAAACGTTTCGATTGGACATATTTCGTGTATACATACTTCCGCTCTTCTTTCAATCTCACCCAGGATCTCCAATACCGCGGTAATCGTTTAATCGCCGCGCTCCGAGAAGAGCACTACTCATCCCTTATCAAGAGCAAATGAAATTCCGACCACTCGGAGATCATCCCTATCAATTTAGAATACCGCTCCCAGAATGAAAGGGGAACTCAACGCCGTGGATTCCTGTTTCCGCCAAGGAGATCCGATGCCGCTCCTCCAGACAGCAAAATATTCTCCGCTAGGAATTGCGGCCGCTATAAACATCATGTTGACTGATGCCTTCGCATTCCATTGTGCGGCCTCTCACACTCGACTGACTGCCAAGCGTCGCTCGGGCTCAATCCGAGACGGCAGACGAAGGCATTTCGGTATTCAGCGATTTGCCTCGGATTCTGATGAAACTCACAAGGGAGGATAGACGCTGGCCGAAGATCTCGACATGCACAATCTGTTCTCCACGATCGGTGTGCTCCTTTTTGTTCTCCGAAACATAGAAGCGGAGGAGAAGGACTCGTCTTCGTTCAGCTTGAATTTGTGTGATGCTGAACAAATAGAGGTAGCTGTGGGTAAACTATGCCTGCCTTTCGGAGGTCTCCGGAGACACGGTTACGTCCCCATCCAGCTAGGTGAGTCCTTTCGGAATAAATTTTCCTCTCCATATCGAGAATGTTGGAGGAATCGTGGGAGGCGAGCTGACCCTATCCCAATGCTACGAGCTCGCGCCATTCTATTTCCTCTAGTAGGGACTATGCTGATAAAGTCTTTTACAGGACGCAACTTGCCGGTGGCTGCGAAGCAACGAGTTTTCGGCGGAGTCACGTGTCCCCACCGATATTTCACTCCCCTCTGCTTCTGTTGCGAGCGGCTCTTTGGGCCTTGTAGAATTCCGGACCTGATCGCGACCTTTTGTTTCTACGGGGTACCTGAATCGAATTTTGACGACTCCGAATTGAAATAGCCTGCTCGCGACGTTTTCGTCATCGACCTCGCGGGCTGTACGTCGGACCGCTGTCGGTCAGCATCGATTGTGTGGTTGTTCGATTTCACTGTAGAGAAATGACCATGGTCTCGGGGCTGTATCGAATCCTGACCGCAGAGACATCGAGTTACCATGATCAGACGCGGATGAGTTGGGAAGAAAGGTGAGGGATCGGAATCGTTCTCGGAGGCATATA